CTGAGTTTCTGCCGCGATTGTTGGGTCAGGGGCTTGTGTCAAACTCCAGGGCTCAGGTGGTCGCGCCTGCCTTTGGCTCCCAAGAGTCTGGAGGATTACTAGGCGTGAGCTGCGCGCCCAGCCCTGAAAATATTTTACATTGGAAAAAAAATTTTTGTTTGCACTTCTTATCTTTGTGGATCATGGTCTGGTGATTTTCTTTATGGGAACGTTTTCCATTCTTCTAAGTTGTAGTTTCTTCAGTAAGAATATATACTATTCAGGTTGTCTATTTTTTTCTTTTTGTTAAGCGGAGCTTTGATAGTTATGTCCTTCAACGAATTTGTCGCAGTTACATGCTACATTGTGTTAAGCGCTGTATTGGTCGAAAAAGTCATTCATGTTAGTCCCAGATCGTTTTTAATGTAGGATCTTTGGAGATGTGGTTTCTCGCTCTTCTGGTGTTGGTAATTTTGCCATCAGGTCTTTATTTAAAAGCCACCTTCTGCTTTCTTTCATCACTCTCCTTCCCAGAACTTCCTATTCACTATCTTCTGCTTTATCATTTTATATGGCACCTATAATAATCTGACATATATCTGACACATACATATATGTCAGATAATTGTAGGTGCCATATAACATGAGATATATATATATATTCTTGTTTATTGACTCTTCCAACCAGAATATAAGTTCAACAAAAGCATGGATTTTTATTTGTCTTATTTCCTGCACATTGATTGTTAACCTAGAATAGTACCTGGCTAAACCAAGTATAAAAGAAAAAAAAAAAAAAAGAATAGTGCCTGGCTACAAGTCAGTGTTGCGTAATTAATTATCTTTAAATTTAGAAAGACCTCCATGACTATTCAAATCAAAGTAGCCCCTCCTATTATTCTTTTTCTTAGATAGCTTCATATCGTTCCTTCATAGCACTTAGCACTATTTATTTCATTATTTATCATATGTGGTTTTACTTGTTTAATTTTTGTCTTCTTATATAGTCTATAAACTCCACGAAAGCAGGGCCATGTCTGCTTTGTTTACCTTAAATACACAGCCAAGCACAGAACTTGGCATGTTATTTACCAGAAAGAAGTTTTTTTTTTTTTTTCTTTCTCTTCTATAGTCTTCAGCATATTTAAATACTCAACAACATTTATTGAAGAAGAGTGAATTTCCATATGTATGTTATCTCATTCAGCTATCACAAGAATCCATTATTGCAGGTGTTATTATCTCATTTTATAGCAGAAGAATCTGATATTCAGAAAAGTTTTTGACCAGGTCATAGGGTCAATAAGTAGAGAGCCTATGTTCCATTTCTATTTCTGTCTCACTTCAAAAGCTCTGTGGCAGCCCTTTCTCCCAGTAATAGTAGCTACTCTTTGTTGCGTGCCTCACACATCTTAGATATTTTACAAACAAATATAACAACTATTTTAAGAGGCGAGTGTACGCCTTTGTTTTTCATATGAGGAACCTGAAGCTTGGGAATTTGAGTAACTTCTAGTAGTGATAGGAGAGGGTTTCACACTCAAATCTGCCATACTATAAAACCTCCATTTTTTCATTGTTTCTCAGATAGCTATATTATTTTTAATAAGAAAAAGTTTTTACTGTATATTAACTTTTTATTTTCTTGTCATTCCTGTACATAGTAGAGGGACATTCAGTAATGTATGTTAGCATTTGATTGTAGGTATGGAAACATGTTTTGCTTGGATTTCATTTGTGCTGGCTTTCCTTTTTTCTTTTTTTGACCTGTTTGGTGAAGGGGAAGGAAAATGAATATTGTTAATAGCATTTTGTTTGAAAGAAATCAGTAAGATATTAAACTTAATGCGTAGGATAATGAATGTGGCCAGAGTATAATTTGAAATTAACTTGTTTATGTTGTCATTGTTGAAAGGTTTGGTCATTTTTTCCTCTTTATTTGTTTTTGAAACAGAGTCTCACTCTGGTTGCCCAGCTGTGATGCCAGTGGCCCGTTATCCTCGGCTCACTGCCAAGCGCCGCCTCCCAGGTTCACTTCCATTTCCTGTCTCAGTCCCTGAGTATTTGGGACTAATAGCACCCGCTTCCACCACAACACGGCATTTTTTTGTTTTTGAGTAGAAACGGAGTCCTTCACCGTTGTTACGCTGCCGGGTCGGTCTTGATCTCCTGACCTCGTGATCTGCCCTGCCTCAGCCTCCCAATAGTGCTGGATTTACAGGCCGTGAGTCACCGTGCCTCATGCCCAGGTTTGTCAATTTTAAAAGATGATATGCTTCATTTTTAGAGGTATGTGTAATATACTGTGTTAAAATATTTTGTTTTAGAAGTAATTTCAACTGAACAAGAATGTTGCCAAAATAGTACAAGAATTCCTAATATTGTTTTACTCTAGATTTTCTAAAATTAACATTTTTGCCATGCTTTGTTTTTTTGTGTCTTTTCTTTTGAGACCGGAGTCTCAACTCAGTTCGCCAAGAGCT